TACGTATAGATTGCTTGGTTGATCATCAACAGTATAGTAATTACGTGGCACATCGGTCATCGTACACCTGCTGTACACTTCCGTGCTACACGCACCACACAGACTCATCTCTTTCTTTTTATTTCTCTCTCTCTCTCTCTCTCTCTCTCTCTCTCACACACACTCTCACCTAATTACACTTTCGCAGAGAGCTCGATCGTGTTTTTTTTTCTTTCTCGCTCGCGATTCTCTCTCTATATTATTACCATCGGATATTATTTTTATAGGACTTAACAGAGGACAGCCGGTTCTCCCTTTGTTAAATGAACGCTCTTTCACGTGTTCTCTGGACGAAGGTGAGCACACCGTTAGGAAATTTGCGTAACAAAGGTGTTTTGCAAGTTTCAATTATTCGTCGAAGATGATCTCTCTCTCTCTCTCTCTCTCTCTCTCTCTCTCGACATTTGTTCCTTTTCTTTTTTTTAATATACGTATAAATTGTTGTTACAGGCTGTGAACGGAAACGGCGGTGGAATTGCTGGCTGAGGTGGGGAATTGACGAAAGCCTCGGAGGATATCAGAAGGTAATCTAATTAATGGAACAGGCGCGCTTAATTAACGTGAAGTTCGGTCGATCGACTCGCTAATTGAATTACGCCTTCTAAATAATAGGAACATCTCTGATATCGGAACGCGCGACAGAAACAATAATTATAAACGGTATAGACAACAAGCTTATGCAACGGCGCCGTGACGAGGAGGAAATTTCATTACTGATTTATCGATTGTACACGAAATAACGAATAACGCGCGCTTCGATAATGTTAATAATAACGTCAGCGAGATAAGCAGTTGCAGTAATTGAACGCAGATAGAGGATCGATCGAGTAACGACAATTAAACACGATTTAAACGCAATGTTGCGTACGGAATCGTGTTCGAACGTTAATTTATACGTGTACACGCCACAGGCTTGATAAAATTATTCGGACGCAATTGGTGTTTCCGTAAAGTCAACATTTATTCGGGAGATAAGTGAAGTATACAAACTTGCTGGCAGTATATCGCGGCTGGATAAAATTGGAAACTATAATTAAAGCGGGACTTATAGGTGGCGAGAACTATTTCGAGAAAAGTAACAGAACGAATTTATATCGGTTCGCCTTGAAGAGTGTACGAAAGGCGAGTCGTTGATTCATTTGAAATAAGAAGTGGGCGGTGAATCTTTCGCGATGGACACGATAGTTGGTTAGAAAATACGAGGAACTTTGAATGTCACTTGAAAATAACGATCGAACGAAATTTCAAATTATGCATCAACAACGCGGAAGTTGGAGAGGAGATGTTTGTCGGTAATTATATTTTCCTTGCCTCCTTTTTCGTACGTTTATGCTGCGACGGCACTCTTTTCTCATGCAGTTAATACTACATTGAAATTTTCGAAAAAGTAACGCAACACTTAGGTGAAAATTGTTTCACACCAGGACAGTAATTAAAGTGTAATTTAAGACGTACTTTTTTATGTACAGTCTAAATTATCATTGTGCCGATATAGTGCACGATCTTTTCATTTATACATATCCATATAATTTCGATGTTTTCTTTTTCTAATAGATACAATTACGATTACTTTTTTACAGAGGCCTTACGAAATAATTAAAAAAATTTGTCTACAGAAGCCTGCTTCGTATAGATTCAAATTTCTAATTTTACACAATACTTGTTTATATTTCTGAAACACAACGAGCTGCTTTTCAAGATCGAATTGTTTCTCTTTCGTAGAAATGTTAAGTGTCACATAAACGAAGATACATCTTTCCGAAACGACGTTAGAAATTTGTTTCGAGAAACTTACACTAGATCTAGATTTTATCTAGATTTCATATCGAAGGAATTAATATCAGGACCTACGTATGAAAAGTCAGTTTCTAAAGTTTCAAATCGTTTTCATTTTGAACACCTTGTACATATACGTAATGTACAATCGTGTAGCGCAGAGAAAATCCTTTTCACCAGCATTGATTTTTTCTTTAATAATAATCAAATTCCAGTTAAGACTGACACACCGATCGACCTACTTTCGAAAGAGTATTCTTTTGTTAGCACGTCAAAGCTTAATTCCAATCGAACGTAACTCTTTTAAAGTGAAATGAATTTGAAGTTCACAGGTTCAATAAGGGAAGCGTCTGCGCAAAGTGGAATCAGTCGAAAGTTATCTGCTAATTCTACCGTGTGCTGTAATACATTGCAAATGAGACATTCACCTTAAAGAAGAGCGATGAATTTATTTGCTTATGCAAACGTGTCTTAATCGAAGACAATCGAGGAGAAAACAATTAATACCGTGTAAAGATTAATCATTTCCGTGTGTTGCTTCAAGTGAACGAGAGATCGCTTAGGAGAATTATTTATCGTTGAACTTTTGCTCGAAAAATGTTGACCATTAGCGACGAGTATCGCGTTAATTACACAATTTCAGTAATTAATTGAAATACTGTGAAAATAACTCTTTAACTCTCGAATGAATTCCAGCAGTGAAAAACAATCTAGAAAGTCGTTATTATATAAAAAAAAAGAATTATTATTTTACAATTGAACGTAATTTTTAATCATTTTTGTAACATTTCGTACGCCTCGAGACAGAAAGGGAAACGAAAACAATTTTTGTAATATTATACACAGAAAAGAAAATTTTTACCTATTATCCCTACATTTTACGTACCCACGATGAACTGCAGAAATGAAATGAACGCTTTTAATCAAATCCTTCATTTTCTGTCCCAATAAGTACAAATACTACACAAAAATACACTAAAATAAAATAAAATAAATGTCTCGACAATTGAAAAAAAAAGAGTGCCCGTCAAGGGGTTAATATTGCAAAAGAACAACACACGGCTGCTCGACAAGTTCGACGACACTTAAAAATACACAATAACTTATCAGTTCCCTAACCAAGTAACGACTTCATTTCCCAACCCCGAAAAAATAATATTTTAAAAAATTCTAACAAAACAACAGCAACAGAGATTCTACTACCTCTCCCTCTAATTTCTCTCTTTCCAAGCTGCCAGAAATCACGCTACTTGTGTAAATAAATACAAAACATAATGCTCCCCCGCGGGAAAGGACGCGCGGGCGATATTTCATCCCTCGTTTCGTACGTTATTTATCGCGGTCGACGCGGCAAATTGAAAACGGATGCGGTAGAAACGACACCGTGGGTGTAGGTGGGAATCGATAATTTCGGACTCGTTTCGCGCATCGGCAATTTGCAAATGTATATCGGCCACGCGGAGCAATCGGGCCCCGGTTCTCATCACACAGCGTCGCGTCGATGCTCGTCGATCGCTGCTTCTATTCAGCCAGGAAAATTGTTCGGGCAGGATTCGAACAGATTTCTCTGTTTGCGCCGTATAGAAAACTACGGAGGGGAAACAATATTCGACTCGACTCGTTTGCCACGCTATTTTTCCTCGTCGTTCGTTCGGTATTTCTGTCTCGAAAAACCTGTCGATCGTTATGAAATTGGTCTCGAGTCGAAATTCAATCTGTCGTTTATTTCGTGTCGCGTTGAAAACCTACGTTTTTACACAACGAAAGAGGGAAGTATGTATTTCGAAACGAGAAATATGAGGAATTAGGCCGTTTCTATAATTACTGGCACAAATGTGTGCGGAACTCTCGTCAAATGTGCTTTTCGTGTTTTTTCTTTTTTCGAGATTGTATTGTCACTTCGAGAATTGATAAAAAAAATACAATGCAATTTGTCAGGCTCTATCGGTGATAAGTGTAACGAGAACGACGTTAGGCAGATTATCGGCAAAATCTTTCGTTCCGGCGTTTAAAAGTTCTAAATTTATCTTTTGTAAATTTCTATTGTCAACTTAAAGTGAGAGTACTCGAAGGATTGAATTTTCAGCAAAATGTAGAAGTCACCAACAGCACACTGCGGGGAAATTTTCAAAGCGCCTATGTGCGCTAATAGCAGTGAAAGGGTTAATTCACAAGCAACAATATAAAAAAAAAACAGCCTAGTTACGATTGCAAAAA